TCTATTAAAACATTTAATCATTTATCTGTCCAGGTGTATTTATGTTAAACAACTGGAAGTTTCAAAAAGGTCTGATGTAACAGCTTTTTATTCATACTGGTACTCAGGGCGGTTTTAATTCATCCAATACATCCTTTGCGATTCGGATCTTTGCTTATCCATGCATGAACTCACAAAGCACGGCACAACATAATAGCTGAGCTGTTTAAATTGGTATTAAGCGATTTGTAGTTTTAATGATGGTAAATAGGAGTTCACCTTTGTGGGCTCCCTCAGGCTTACTTCAGGTAAATTACTACAAATACATTGTTTATGCCCTACAGGCGAGATGGTGGGCTGAGAATATAGGGAGGGTGAATGTTGTTAGAATTCAGCTAATCAAGTCCAAACTTTAATATCAGAGACCAGAAGCTTAAAATAAACCTTTTCTTCATTGCGGTTGCATAATTTAACACCTACAAATTTTAAATTTAGAATACAACCTTTAGGTTTAGTGAATTATTCAGAGGCGGTGAAAATATTAAGAAGTGTTAGGAAAGAATGGTGCTAAGCAAAATCAGCAGGAGCACCCTTTTTGACACCCCTGTTTTACAAGTACAGCTGTGTTTTGCTAGTAGGACAGCATATCTTATGTGGCTTAAGCATACAGAGAGAGAGATTTGACTATTCATCTATGCAGAATGTTGTCTGTATTCTGTATGTCATGATACAATGCTTCAAATTTTATTTAAAATGGTCTTAAAGTGTACTGTAACTAAAGCAGATGTAAAACCCTAACCTCAATCCAAGAAAATGTTCTAAAAATGCCACCATGTGTTAAGGGCATAGCCAAGTATGGTGATGAGTGGAGGTGGTTAAGCGGGGATGTGGTATAGTGGGACTAAATAATTTAATAAGCTAAAATAAAAAATGCTACGCAAATGCTCACCTAAAAGTCCTATCAATAAGCGATGGCAATTCCAACCCCGGATTTGCTTCACCTGCATGTGTCTTAAGTTTATGTTGTGTTCCATTTGAACCTGGTAATACCACATGAAACTGTATGGTTGTCATTGTTATGGCTGGACACACAGTAGGCCACAGTAGCCTTATAAAACAAGTAGAAATATTTTCATCCAGAAGCAGGACGTTGGGACGTTATCACCTCGGAGATTACAACTTTCCAGTTAGTTCCAAGGTAGATTAAACTACAATGTATACATCATAGCCCAGGTTTAAGTATAAACCTGGGCTATGATGTATACATTTTACTGTTTTACTGTTTCAACCAATAGGAACATTCCACTTTAGTAGCCATTTTTCAACACATGGAGGTCATCACTTAGATAGGTTTAGCTCATGTGTTGCAGAACAAAAATGTCAAGATTTGCATAGAAAGATTAAAAAACACCCTAAAAGGACCTATATGTTACAAAAGTAATAACGACACCTACTGTGTATAATTGGAACATCAAAGGAATCGAACAGACCTCTCCTCCCCAACCCAATCCCCCTTCAAAGAGTTGCCAAGTCAGGAGAGACTGGTACACGGAGCAGCTAAATTGAAGAAAAGTGAAAATAACTTAGCCTCAGTAAGGTGATTTGGAAATAGGTTTGAAGAATGCTTCGGCTTCCTTGTTATTGTACAGATTATTTATGGTTCTACAATAGGTTAAAAAAGCTGTTGCGAAGCACTCAGAAATAATAAAGTCAAGACCTTAGTAAGAGTTCAGTACAAGAGGGGTGTTCTGAGTGAATTATTTTTCCTCTTTCATCAAAAAAACCCTCCCATCTGTCTGTCCCATTTTAGTCAAATCTTTTAGCTTGTTTGGCCAATCAGCATCGAGCAGTCAGCTTCATGACCCGCCCCCTGATCCATAGACCCTATAAAAGGCTTAGCCTCACTGGAAGTGAGGGGTTTTGCACATTATCCAATCAGTCTCCACTCTCTAGCTGGTTGCTTCAATGCACAGAGGCTCAAGCTTCAACTGGAATTTCTCAGAGACTGTTCATGAGCAGAGGGGAGATAGCTTCCTAGAGCGAGCTCAACGGCTGAGTTCTAGTCAAGATACTTATAAAAATGAGCGCATTTAGCACACATTTAATTCAGTTTAATGACTACATTTTTAAAATTTATCAATGCATATTTCACTGATACTTTCATAAAATTTATTTTATAAATTTTTATAAAAGGTGTAACCTCCCTAAAATTCAATGAGAAATTGCCACTGCTCTAGTTTTGAAAGAATAGCTCAACCAATATGTTGTTGATGGATAAGAATGATTGGTTTGTAGAGAATACTACTTTCATCCTAGGGGGACAAATGAAAAATAAATTACATTTACAATTTGAATGTAAATTTCTTATAACTTTTTGAGGCCAGATTAATACAGTTTATGAAAGTTAATCTAGGGTCAAGTTCTCCTTAACAAGGTCTTAAATTATATTGCATCTTTTTCTCTCTGAATTATTTTAAACATGGCTTTTATTTGGGGTGCTAATAACATATATAGGATTACGTTTGTTAATTTCTTTAGAAGGGAAAAAGAAAAGCCTGCTTTGAGACTACAGCACAAAAAGAAGGATCCTAAATATAAATGACACTCAATGTTGTGGCAAGAAAAACACCGGATTTCATGGATAAATGAATCTCCTCCTCACCTGGCGCTTTTCACTCACAAACTAAAGGATTTGGCGGAGCCTTGTTAAGTTTGTGGCACATTCTCTTGCTGCAGCTTGAATGGGTCTTTATGAGAGAAACACCGCTTTGGGAAGAGGTGACAAGAAAGGGGCTGGGTTGGTGCTGAAAGCGAGACTAATACCCCTTCTTTAGAGCAAACAGAGGTCCTGTGTTTGTTTTTTTTTGCAAAAGGCCTTCAGTCAGGTGGAGATGTGAGATTTCATATGCCGTCAAGTATGAGGAATGACACGGAGATAAAGTTGAGGAAAGTTATTACAGTAGAAGAGAGCACCTTTGTGTTATTTTCAGTGGCTTTTCCATTACTTTTTAATAAGTTGAAAATCTTTCCTAATGGGAGTCGCAGTGCCTGATTGAATGGATGTAATACATCCACCTCAAAGGCAAAATAAGTCTCTTCACTCTGGCCTTTGAGTGGCCTTGAAAGCCTGATAGGTAGCTGAGACCATACCATGTTGTCCTGCAGTAAGTACCCGCACAATCAGGGCCCTCTGTGGTGTTTTTTAATTGAGCTTAGCCTGCTGAGCGGTAATTGATTCAGTCTGAGTTTCGGCGGAGGCGCTGCTACAAGGTGCTGCTTGGCTTCCGCCTCTCTTTAATCTCCCCCTTTTGCTCTATATTGTTTGGGAATACTCACCACTGAGAAACTGCATGCTATCTTTCTTATGGAAATCAATGCTTCTTTTGGAAGGAGGTGGAATGACAGAGAGTAGTACTTCTCATGTCCTTTCATTTTTAAACCAGTGTCCTTCTCTTTAGAGGCTTTGCCATGCAGATCTCCTTGCCCTTTGGCTACTGATGTTTGGTACAAAAAATAACTGGAGTTGTTTTGTGGACGGCGTTCTGAAGTGCGCTATCATGTTTTTTTCTTTCATGCTGCTTTTCTTTACTTTCTGTCTTTTTTGTTAGTTTTTTCTTTCTTTTTATTTTTTACCTTGAACAGGGCTGCCAAAGAAGGGCAGAAAAAAAGGAGTGAAAAAAAAAAAATCAACAAGGAGGCTCAATCAGATCCAGTAGCATCTATGAGGTTGTTTTCTTTTTTTCTTTCAAACAGTTTTGAGGAGAAGCCTCTGAGTGGTGGAGGAACGAGACCAAAATGTTTTTCAGTCACTTTTGATCCCCCTCAGTTCAAAGTCCCAGAGAAGAGCCGAGGAGGGGAAGGAGAGAAGGGTGCGATGGTTGAGCGGGGAGGCACAGACACCTAGCTTTGACCTTCTGTCTGCTCTCGCGTCCTTTGAAAGTCGCCTTGTTTTCATTAAGCCGCTCACAAGCACAAGTACAGGGCTGTTTGACTAGCTCCTTATCCCCCGTATGGTTTCTTTAATAGACATTCTTTACATTCTCACACTGCTAATGTCTTCAGTTTTTCCCAATTAGGGCGACAAATGCCAGGCAGCAGATGAATAATTTAAAATATTTGTAAGATATCTTGTACTTTGTAATGGATTAATTTGTGCACATATGAAAGGAAATGAAAATCCTTTCAGTGTGCGATCTAAACCCTTTTTGGTCTGTTTCTATACCCCTGGTATGGGGATAATTGGCCTGAAGTCATTGCCACACTGTAGTCTAACAGTATGTGTCATTTGCACATTTAGCAAGTCATTTGGGTAATGGCTTTTAAGATTGCCCTTGTTTTTAAAGAGATATTTTTTCATGTAAATATTGGGCCAATTTCCATAATGTGCCTGTTTTTTATTCACTGTTGAATAAGTTATGTATATTAACTGTAAATATCAGTTTATAAAATTTCATCCCCATCCCCATTTCCTTTAATATTATTATCAAAGCAGTATTTATTATTAATATACAGTAAACTACTACTATGTACCCTGTTAACATGACATGCAGTAATTAGCTGAAATTTATCCATGCTTATTCAGTTTGATGGCGTTGTTAGGTTTTAACAGTTTTACATGGTTCCAACAGCTTTCTGAAAAAAAAACTGTCCCGGAGCATAACCCTACTTATAAGACTGGACATTAGGTGCTCTTTAAAGCTTTTAACGATGAATGGCAGTGCAGAGATTAAGTCCCATCAAACATGAGTTTTAACAAGTTTCTCCTGGCCTTTCAAAGTCTAGGAAGCCCACAGCATCAGAGATCCTCTACCATACATTGCAGTGGACATAAGCCACCTTTATATTGTAAAGCTTTACTGTCATTGGACACCACTTTTAAAAGGTGTCTCAAAGCTGACAGCTTAATTACCTTCAGCATGTGTGGAGTTTTTTCTGCCAGAGCACCACTAGATCCTCCCCTGTGACTATCTCACTCATGATATGCATCATTGAGTAACCAACAGCCTCTTCATGTGTCTCAGGTCTGGAACTCCCCTTCATGATGATGCCACACCCACTGATCCCAGTCAGCCTGCCCCCAGCCTCTGTCACCATGGCGATGAGCCAGATGAACCACCTCAGCACCATTGCGAATATGGCTGCTGCAGCCCAGGGCCAGAGTCTGCCTTCTAGAATGGTCACTTCTGTTATAAAGGTAAATTTTAAAACAAAGATTTTTTTTTTTACCACATATTGTGGTTTTAGTCTTCATCTGCATCAGATTTTTATTTTGGATTTGTATGTTTGTGGATGCTGGGGTTGCAGGAACGTGTGCCAGACAGTCCATCCCCTGCTCCTTCCTTAGATGACAACAGAAGGCCTGGTAGTCACCCATCATCCCACCGCAGCAGCAGCGTGTCCAGCTCCCCAGCCCACACAGAAAGCTCTTCAGACAGGATACGTAAGTTACCTAAAACATAGCAATATACCATAAAAAGAAGTGATTTTTTTTTTTTTTTCAGGCTTTAGTTGGTTATACATGTTCTTTTTTATAACTTTGTGATCTTTCTGCAGCAGCACACCACAATGGGCTGTCAATGAACCAAGCCCTTCTAGGCCTGTCCCCCAACATCGCCCCTGGGCCAAAAGAGGGCGACCTGGCCCATGACATGAGCCATGAAGTGAAAAGGATGCATGCTGACAAAGGTAAGTTAAACTTTATTAGCAAAAACTGTGACTTAGGAATGTCATCTACCACTGTGGTTGTCATGCCTTGTGACAGTTTCCGCAGGGTCTTTGAATAACAGGCCCAGAGCATTACGGTTCCATTACCAGGTAACATAAGGCGCTTTTCCACATATTCATCCTGTGTTTCAAACCCCTTGGAGCATTGGTTGCTGAAAGCTCAATCTTTACTGACAAAAACCGCTGACTTTAAGTTACACATGACGGCTCCACCATCTGTTCATAACACAAAGCATGAGATCCAACATCAAAAACCCAGCCAGGGCCTCCCTATGGGACGTTTTTATTAGTTTTTTACTTGTATTCCAGGTTCCTATCACAGTCCAAATATTAATAAAAAAGATATCCCTACTAAATTATCCATGATCCGGTTAGTTTAATCATTTGTAATTATTTGTGTAAAAAGTAATTAGAACTACTGCAAATTCTTCAAGATTATTCTTTTGTCTTAACAACAATAATAAAGGAATAACAAAATAACAAAAATGTGAAATAAAAAAGAATAAACAGTACAAGCTTATCTAAAAAGGTTTCAAATACCTTTGAAAGAGACAGACCCCCAGTCTAATAGATCTTCCACCGTACCTAACAGTGGGCCTAAAGGTACTAAACACATCCTGCACAATCTGCATATTTTGTTTCATGCCAGAATCATGTGTTTGGTGCCCAAAAGTTTAAACTTTGTCTCATCTGACCAAATCAATTCATTCTGGTTCAAATGTTTGTATTTGTAGAATAACTATGACTTTTGAAACTAACGACTTACTTAACTGAATTTCAAGGGAACAAAAGAGGAGGAAAAGCCTTTTTTCTTCAATGTATTGTTTTTATTTCATTATTTTGTTAAAAGCAATTAGACCATCCAGATATAAACATTTCTAAGCACTGTAGATTAATTACAAATTGAAGCAAATAATAGATTTCAATATTCCCAGTTGGCTCACTGTGTTGTTCTGCGTGATGCAGCTGATAATGATTTTAAAACCACTGTGGAAATCATCGGACTGTATGCTCCCTGATGGCCGGGCTGACGTGAGGATCCGTGTTAGACCTTCACACACGGGGTGTGAAGCAGTGAATAGTAATAATTAGCAGGATCATGAGCTGAATTTATAGGTCACAAACCATCTAACTGTGTGTGAACGGGTGTGAAAAGAGGGAGAGGAGATTCGCAAGAACAAAAGAGGAAGGCAAACAAAGCCAGGAGAAGGGTGTTTAACCAAGTACCTGCAATCTGCTGAATGTTTTCTCAAATCTCAGCTGAAGTGCATTCTCCATACCAGGATAATCAGTAAAAATGACAGTCATTTCTCTGCAGTGCTAGAAAAGAAAAAAAAAAAACATCAACAGAAAAACAGCAAATGACCCAACACACAATCCCCGGCTGTTCTAGCTAGTTGACCTGTGTGCGTCTGCTCACAAACACCCGCTGTATTATCGTTCAGATTGTCAATTCCTAATATGTCGCCGGACTTGATTAGGATTCTGAGCTCTCCGGAGTGCGCACCAGAGGTCTCTGGCTGTGGAAAAACATTTTTATAAAATAACCCATTAATGCAGAGGAGTGCAACTAAATTAGTTACCAATTTGCTGAGCATGAATTAATGAAGAGAGCTTCTCCCGGCTCCAACAGTTGTAATTTTCATAATAACCCCGGACCTTTATTTGGCAGGTTGTTTAGTTTTTTCGTTTGAAGGTTTTCATTAGTCTAATGAGGACTGTGCAAGGGCGAGCAGTCAGCACAATTTACATGAGGAAGCTATCATAATAAATGAGGCAATTTGAATAACATGCACAGGTTTATGCAGCGAGATAAGAGAGATTGTAGCTGCAAGATACAGAGGTAACCAATACATTAGAACCAACTAATAACCAAAGTAATTCCAATAAAAGCTTTAAGTGAAGGGAATAAAATTAATGATAGAAATATTGAACTGTAATGATATGATACACGATGCATTAGATTAATAAAATAAATGTGCTGCACTGTTAAAGAGGGAAAAAAGGGCCTCACCATCCGCAGCTTTGTTTATGGTGAGCTTTTTTAATTAGGCTTGTTCATCGCATCGGTTTGTTTAGATAAATGAGATAACATTCCAGTGGTTTAATGATATCTCTCCACTTGTTTGATCTTTATGATCCTGGCAGAGCATTAAATTAATCTCTTGCAATGCACTCTTAGAAGAGAGCTCGGCGGGTGCAGAGGAAGGATGCAGAGCCTCGGCTCATATGGAGACTATTTAAATAGCCAGACACCTCCGAGACAGTCGCTATAATGTCTCATCGCTCATATCCTGTGATCGTGTCTCTTCTTTTTCATGCCGTCTCTGCTGATGAAGGACAAAGGCTGTTTGTTGTTGAATAGGAAAAGGACCATTTCTAAACTTGTGTCGCTCGGTTGAGAATAACCAGATGGTGTTTTCTTTCTGTTAAAACCTGGGTCCTTTTTCCATCCAAATTTTGCCTGGAAAGGAAAAAAAAGGAGCTAAGAGAATGTGTGACAGAGGGGTAAAAAAAAGGCAAGCAGGCTCCTAAATGTTGCCTTACAAGTGACTAATTGAATTGTTTGAAAAGGCAAGTCTGCGGTGATAACTTCCGACAAGCCTCTGTCTAGTGAAACAGCAGGTAGCTGACAAACAAGGGGAAAATTTGAAAGGTTCGGAAGCCTTTTTGGCTGTAAAGTCACTCTTTGGACAACAAACACTGGATATCGCCGGATTTCCTCTGGGAAAAGGTGTTTAAAACGCAAGCCATATGCACTGCATGTATGATGAATAGAAGGAGTTTCTATAATACCATTGCATTAATGTTGGCAATCCTGGAAAGCAAGTAGAGAAATCCTTAATACATTTTTTTATAGTATAATCTCACTGTATTATTTTTTTCAAATGCACCCAGTGAGGAAATAAAATTAAACAGCAGAGCATAATTGTGTCACATTATGCCTGTAATACTTAGTCCAACCCTTTTAATAAACATTTAGCCACTAATATCTTTTATTAGGTGAGAATGGACAGACATAGGGTTGTTGTACCATTCCTCATGAGGTTGCCCTGGATGATCTCAATTTTCTTCAGTTGCAGCAGGTTTTCTATAGACTTTGGATCTAGGACTTTCGGAGGAGTCAGCAGAATTTAATGTAAAACCTTGCAGTATTTTAAGAAATTAAAGTCTGCAGCAACACATATCCTGTACTGTTGGAGATTTTCTAAATATTGATATCTAGTCTATTTAGTCACCTTTTCTGTACCTCATGCAACCAAAGCAGATTGTTCTAGTCAGAATTCATGTAAACTTAAACAAGGACCACATGTTTTAGTTTTTTTTAGTAGGCCTGAAAAGGCTTTTTACTCCTTAACAACTATTTGGTATTCTAAAGTTTCTAATGGTTGTTATAGAGATTGGTAACCCCACTTTTTTTCTTCCTTATCATAAACCTCACTGTCTGTGGTGGGAAACAGTTCAGACAGATGGCGATATACTTTTTTCTAAATTCTTCCTTAAATGCCTTTCTTTTCATTCCAAGTGCCAAAAAGAGCTGAAATCTTTATAAAGTTGTATGAATTTATAAATACATAGTATCTGAAAACTGTAATATACAGGTGCTGGTCATAAAATTAGAATATCATGAAAAAGTAGATTGATTTCAGTAATTCCATTTAAAAAGTGAAACTTGTATATTATATTCATACATTACATACAAACTCATATATTTCAGATGTTTATTTTGTTTAATTTTGATGATTACAAATGACAACAAATGAAAATCTCAAATTCATCATATCAGAAAATTAGAATATTGTGAAAAGGTTCAAAATTGATGGCCCCTGGTGCCACACTCTAATCAGCTAATTAACTCAAACCACCTGCAAAAGCCTTTAAATGGTCTTTCAGTCTAGTTCTATAGGCTACACAATCATGGGGAAGACTGCTGACTTGACAGTTGTCCAAAAGACGACCATCGACACCTTGCACAAGGAGGGCAAGACACAAAAGGTCATCGCTAAAGAGGCTGGCTGTTCACAGAGCTCAGTGTCCAAGCACATTAATAGAGAGGCGAAGGGAAGGAAAAGATGTGGTCGAAAAAAGTGTACAAGCAAGAGAGATAACCGCACCCTGGAGAGGATTGTGAAACAAAACCCATTCAAAAATGTGGGGGAGATTCACAAAGAGTGGACTGCAGCTGGAGTGAGTGCTTCAAGAACCACCACACACAGATGTATGAAAGACATGGGTTTCTGCTGTCGCATTCCTTGTATCAAGCCACTCTTGAACCACAGACAGCGTCAGAAGCGTCTTGCCTGGGCTAAAGAGAAACAGGACTGGACTGCTGGTGAGTGGTCCAAAGTCATGTTCTCTGATGAAAGTAAATTTTGCATTTCCTTTGGAAATCAAGGTCCCAGAGTCTGGAGGAAAAGAAGAGAGGCACTTCATCCACGTTGCTTGAAGTCCAGTGTAAAGTTTCCACAGTCAGTGATGGTTTGGGGTGCCATGTCATCTGCTGGTGTTGGTCCATTGTGTTTTCTGAGGTCCAGGGTCAACGCAGCCACATACCAGGAAGTTTTAGAGCACTTCATGCTTCCTGCAGCTGATCAACTTTTTGGAGATGCAGATTTCATTTTCCAACAGGACTTGGCACCTGCACACAGTGCCAAAGCTACCAGTACCTGGTTGAAGGACCATGGTATCCCTGTTCTTAATTGGCCAGCAAACTCTCCTGACCTTAACCCCATAGAAAATCTATGGGGTATTGTGAAGAAGAAGATGCAATACACCAGACCCAACAATTCAGAAGAGCTAAAAGCCACTATTAGAGCAACCTGGGCTATCATAACACCTGAGCAGTGCCACAGACTGATCGACTCCATGCCACGCCGCATTGCTGCAGTAATACAGGCCAAAGGAGGCCCAACTAAATACTGAGTGCTGTACATGCTCATACTTTTCATGTTCATACTTTT